GTAGTATTGATCATGTATTTGCTTACAAATTGATTTCTGTTGTGGGTATAAAAAGAAACAAAAAGTTTATTCTGTTATGTTTGGTCACATTTTCAAAGAGCCACATGTGGCCCCAGAGCCACAACTTGCAGACCCCTGTCCTAAACCCAACCCCTAACCCACCAATGGGATTTAAACCAAATGGGGACTCGACTTTTGTCCCCAAATGCACCAGTTGTCCCCAAATGTAGGATTTTTGTCTTAAAATTGCCCCAAATGTCACCAAAAACACCCCCCCCCCACACACACACACAGGTACAAATACTGAGATGATAGCATGTCATTGTTTAAAAGGGTGAAACAGTCATATAATCTTTTTCTGACCCTTAGCAAAAAGCTAAGGCTAAAGTTAGCCTACTAGCTAGCTAAGCTTTATGATTACATTTCATTTACCTCAGAAGTCAAAACATGGTTAAGTCAGGTGTGTTGACATTACCTGACCCATGTTCATATTGCAGGTCAGCAAACCARTAGGATTTGCTGTCCTCACTAACCAGAACCAAAATGATTATCATTGCAAGGTAATTATGAATTTCTCTAGGTTCTACAGTATGCRCTCAAACACTGATGCAACGTTTCCTAATAGAGATTATAAAGCTGTCTGTTTGATTTAAAAGAGAATCAAACCAAGAGGTGAAAAAAATGTTAATTAATTTAGCTGTCACAACTTTTCATTTGCAGGACAGCCATGTTGGATTTTGAGGTTTTGTTTAGTTGAAGACCTGTCAAATCCAAATCAAAGTTTTGACTTTGAGGAGCACTGAGTTGAATTTCTCTGTTTTAGAACTTGCAAATTCCTGTTTTTGAGAATAAATGGAATGCACAACTAGTAACTTAAAAGCTTTAAAGCTAAGCTAAGCAGTTTGAGTACAAAATACTAGTTACTGACTGTGAGTGTCAACCACGTTTGTTGTTTTTGATATRCAATAAAAACTTACTTCGGTGGTGGATCATCGTATTTCCACATTCCATGTTTTATAGAACTATCCAGCTGATTCAGAAAAAAGGCTACAGATGTTGGCTGAGTTCTACAAAGCCTTTTCTACCAGTTACTACAAATTACAAATTTTGAAAATTTTCCATAACAAAAATAGTCCAAGACTGCACAGAACACTATTTCTTTTGCCAAGCACAAAATCAACCATAATGATTTAAACAGTCTGTCTAATTATTCAAATTCAGTACAAGTTCATGGCTTTGAATCCATGTGGTCTAGTGGTGCAACCCTAGGTCAGTTCACAGACATTCTGGTCACTTTAAGTGGCGATGAGGTCACGCCGGCTGTCACAGGAGGTGTCCTATAGAAAGGGGCGGTGATGACTAAAGGGTCATTCCTTTACACACCACTTCCTTTTTTAAAGGGCTGTCCGGCCTAGTAAAAGGGATGGTCAGTGGTCATTYATCACCCCCTCCAGCCACCCACCCTGAGACCCATATCCCTTTGGTCCAACCCCCAGCCCCTCTCTGCTCACTCAGGGGGAAAATTACTTTGAGATGGGGGAATACAGCTCCATTGAGATGGAGAGAGGTTCGTACAAAAGAGAGTGAAGTTTAAAAATTGTCTCTTTCTTCTATGGGAGCGGTGCATCTTTGGAAAAGCCGGAACGATAGGAGCACGGAGGGGACAAGGTCATTAGATTGGCATCTCCATAAGCTCTTCGTTCACATTGTCTGGAGAAATCTGCTCCAAAGGACCTCCATGAGAAATGTCCCCAGTCAACCCYGCAGTGGGCCCAGGGTTTCCCCCTTTGTCTGCCACTTTCAGTGAGATTCCAACACAAAAAGCATTTCTCAAACAGCTACAAAGCTTGTCTCGTTCTCAGAACCAAACATTGTTCTGCTGCCTCTTGTTTGGAATGGATTGCAGACAGCTACTGACATCCTCAGGCCATAAAACATCTGCCCCCGCTCCTCCAAATTAAAAAAAATGGAAGAAGTTCTTACCTTCGGACATTTCGTCGCTCTTCCTCGAGCTGTTTGAGAAGCTCGTCAATGCATTTGTTGGCATCCATGTACTCCTGTCAAGAAGAAACGAGATTGGTTTATGTGCAAATCGTCACAAAGCTTTCATCATAAACATTATAAACTGGAACAAATACTAACTGTATTCAAAGAAGTGTGTACAGGGCTCGTGCTTTTATGTCCTGCTGTCAATGCCAACACAGAAAGCTGCAAAACACAAGCTGTAATGATCAGCTCAGCCTTTCTTTGTGTAACTCCAGAAGCACCTTCAGGTAACTTCTAACGGCTGTCCCGAAAGCGAGCCCAGCTGTGTAATGTCCACTGGGAACGCACCGCACTCACAATTTGCGCTACTGAGTTTTAGAAATGAGCTAAGACCAAGAGCTAAATGAAGAAAACAGATGTTAGGATTGCTTGGCTTTGGTCTAATGATTTGCCTCTTTGTGGTTTGGCTCCATACAACAGACTGTGGGGGGGTGAGGGGAGCTGTTAATGTAAGAAATAGGCCATCGTACTTTAAACATCTGCGTTTTCACACATTCAGCCAGTTGTGACTTGATTCTGTCAGATCCGTCCAGTCCAGGTTTAATTAATGAGAGGTTTGCTTGACAGCTCATGGCACATCTCTTGGGTAAAACGGTTATCTCGGTGGGACAGATGCACCCCATTGATTTCTAGTCATGTGCCTATAGAGTGTAACTGAGGATTGGGGACGCTCATAAAGAATTGCAGTCCAGAAGCACGAGAAGCTGAATCTCAAACTCATTCATTTTAGGACCTTTTAATCTCAGTATAAACCCATCACTTGTTGTTGTTGTTTTTTATTTATTTACAGCATCTACAGCTCCCCTGCCGTTCACTGAAATGCAGCTCCCGCACCACGTTCCTTTGCTGCTATTGTCAGTTCTCTAATTATTCCCTGGCAAAAATAACTCCCCATAAACTCATTCTTTTGAAACCAGGTCGACAGGAAAGAGAAAAACAAACACTTTGCCTTCAGTTTTTGAACTTTTCAGAGAACCCCCTGTTGTCATGCRTTGTTAGGAACAGGGTGCAGAAACATTTGGTCTGTATAGAAAAAGGTTGATCGTTACCAGACAATGACAGACTTATGAGAAATGTAATCCCAAACAGTGCAGTGCAACCACAGAAAGTGCGCTTCAGTTAGGTTTTCTTTCTTAACCACCTTTTTTGTGTTTTATTCCAGTGTCTGAGATTTTTACAAGCAATTATTAGTAATTTATTGACTTATCCACCCCTAAACCAGAAATGCATCATAAATGAGCTCCATTTCAGTAGAATTATATGTTTTATTGCTTTTAGTTTGCTTCATTTTATTGCACAGCACTTTAGTCCAACAAATCTGGTCTATAAAAAAATTATAAATGTTATTGTCCGTGTATAAAAATCTCCACCTGTTTAATGCATTGAAGTGATGAATGGAAGAAGACTAAAACRTGATTTTTAGAATAACAAAAGTTCAGGTGATTTGTGCATTGATGTTTTWTAATTGAAACAAAGCAAAGTAGAAGCAATCGAAGAGCACACACCTCTGCCAAGATCCTAGCCGTGTTTCCCCTACCATCATMCAAGGAGGGCACCTTGCCAGGCTTGTAGCTAGAGGGCCATTGAGGCTACGTTTCCCCGTCTTCTTCAGTTTTGCAATGGCCCATTTCCGTGTAACTACACGGCTCTSTCAGTGCGCCCCAGGGCAGCTGTGGCTACAATGTAGCTTACCATCATCAGTGTGTAAATGTGTGTGTGAATGGGTGAGTGACTGTAGTGTAAAGCACTTTGGGATTCAGAGGGACTTGATAAAAAGCTCTAGAAGTTCAGTCCATTTACTATTTACCATTATACMCTCATGGTGCCGTGTGGGTCTGAAGATTGGACCAGATTTAACAGACATTTCTCTGGATGATATGCAGCTTTCGCTCTCAAACAGACAAGATAGGTCTACTAGCCAATCAGAATTAGGGTGGGGGCGGGCCTTGGGTCTTGGCAAAACTTTGATTCAGATCTAGCTAATTTTATGAAGCCAGAGGAAGACAYGTAAAGAATAACTTGCACCAGGCTTGGATAGACGAGGTGGGTAATAATTGTACAGGTTCAGGGGTGGGGTAACGATAGGACTATCAGTCTAAAGTGTCAATGCAGTTTTGCAAAATCTTACCTACAAACCTGCACCCTACCCTGTCACAGAACAACACCCTGCCTTCAAAAATTGACCATCCTAGCACCTAGTGGCAGCAAGTCCTGCTACTTCGAAAGGGAGCAGCGATTGTAACCTCAGGATAAGTGGTTACGTACATTTTCACTACAACCCCTCCACCACACCAGTACTGATAACATAAGGCAGGGCTYTCTCAACACCAGTTAACCCACCTCCGACAAGCCCCCTGCTGTCATTAGTGGAACAAAGTTCACTGGATGGTGATTGGCTAAGGCAGATGTTACCAGATCGCCATCAAAATTTAATGAGTTGTTCTTCATGACAACCCCAACATGCCATAAAAATTTCATGAAAATCTGTACATAATGTTTTGCGTAACCTCCTGGGTGGAGGTAATAAAGAGAGATCTATAAAAACCTGTAATACGACTTGAATGTCTGAACAAAGTTTTTGGATCAACCAGTCTTCAGGTTTTATTTGACAGATTGGTAAAGGTCATTTTAACCACAAATGATCATGAATGATTCAAAAAGAGATTAAAAAATTCAAACTACTTACCCCATAGCGGTAACATAATGACCCCCGCACGCACAAATGCACCAGAACTCAGAAGTCTTTATTCCTAATGAATGTCATGATACTAGGTGCATCCCAAAATTGTAGTGGTTTGGGTGGGGGTCCTTTTTTTTGGTTGGGGGGGCATTGGTTGACCTGATGGATAGCCCCTCATCAGAGCTAAACAACCAAAGAAAATCTGAAGCTCCTATGTTTAATAGTTTTTGAGCTATAACCACTTTTGTATGTCCAGACACCCCTTTTTCAGATAAATTGGGGGTCCGGGGGGTGGAGGCACTGATTGGTGGGCCTGATGGATAAAGCTTCTAAACAACAAAAGAAATTTGAAGCTCCTATGTTGAACAGTTTCTGAGTTAAAAGCATTTTTGCATATCCAGACACCCCTTTTTTGGATGGAGCCCCCTCCTCAAATATGGGGTGTATCGTAAATCTGTTGGCTGGTGCAGTGTAGGTCAGACTCATCTACAGTCCTGCCAAATTTCATGTTGATTGGTGCAGCTATTTTTGTGCTACGGTTGACCAAAWATCACTGAAAAAAGACAGWATGAAAACAATTTGCCTCCCGCTTACGCTTCACGTACGGKGGTCATAACAATATAACTTTAAACTATGAGTTCAAATCATGTCATGCTAAGAGAATATTGTGTAGAAGGAGCACAGACTCAAAGAACGCTACATATTCTGCAAATCTACCATTAGGGGAAAAAGAAGAAACTTCCCTGAAAGAATGTATTCCCCCCCCCCACCCCAATTCAATGTGTCCTGCGATTACCTAAACTAATCCAGTACGTTTCTCCAGAATCAACACGTTCCCCACCCTTGCACTAGGACCTCATCATAACCTCAATATTTGGAAAAGGGCTTTAGGATTCTGCAAAGCTTGAAGAATGTAGCGCACATTTTCACATAAATTTTTTTTTATTTTTTTCCCCTCCAAAAATCCAACTGGGAGGTAAGCTGCCGTGGAGAGGCTTAATAATTTGCTTGGAGCAATGTTTGGACTGATTCTGACCTGCCAACGACCCGCCTCTGGGGCCTGACTAGACTTAAAGCACTTGTGTTATCACTGCATGGGCTTTCTTTAACCTGTGGCCTTGACGGCAAACTCTCAACAGGCCAGATGTTCAGGCGGTGCTAAATACAGTAAGGAGCTGCTGTACCGTCTCTGCGCTGCTGCTTCTGAAGCACTTCTGACACATCTGAGACTGCCACTCAACAACGGCCACCAGGAGTTTCAACCAGTGCCAGGAGGAGAAAATGGCAGCAGCCCAGGCTTCTCACAGAGTAAAATTACCTCTTATGATCATGAGGCAAATTGGGCATTTACCAAATAACAACAATTGATTGCCGCTTCACAGCGTGGCACAAGATTTTCCAATAAACATTACATATTAAAAAAATAATAACAAAATACCATCAACTCTTATCCATCATGTCTTTTCATTGCTAATTTAATTCTTTTTGACTTAATGATTCATGTTATGGGTTCAGTAAGCCAAAGCCATCTGTTAGTCTTCAGGTGCCAAAGTGCCACTTGGAGGAAAGCCGTAAAACCATCAGCTCGGTCCTTTTTGGCTTAAACAGCAGTTGGTCAAAACAACAAACCAAAGGATTGTGTCCTCATTTATGGGCCCGCAATGATATTTTGCACAAGACTACAATTTTTTAGAAGGGTGGGGCATTAAATTAGAAACATTTGCCTAATCATTGACAAATATCTTCATGTATTATACATGTAAAATACATATCTTGTTGTTTAGTATCTTACCATGTTTGTAGTACATTATTTTGTATTTTATTGTGTATCATGTTGCATCATAGATTGTATTAGATTTAGTTATATAATGCCAAATTGTATCATATATTTCATCATATATTCTTCATCAGATTATCCATCCATCCATCCATCCATTTTCTGTACACGCTTCTTCCTTTTCAGGGTCGCGTGGGTCACTGGTGCCCAGATCCAGCAGTCAC